AGGTGATCCTCGACCAAGATGGAGTTCCGTATAAAGAGGGGAAAGTCGGTTCACGGTTCTCGTGCGTCCGCCTCCGTCCGATATCGTGCTTTGTGCCCTCTAGTCACGCCACTGACGAATACGCTCTGCTTTAGGTCTCGACTTGCCTGTCTTTCGAATTCCACTCGAGATTTACGCTCGCGCGCGTCGCACGATTCGACCCGAGCTTCGACGTTTATCAACCTGATCGGTCGAATAAACGTCGTTTAAAAGTTTTAGTTTTGTTTATTACGCCCGATAAAGGGATCTTTGTTGGGAAATGATTTTGATCGTGAAACGATTCCCGACGATTTGGCCGGTTCTAATAACCGGTATATCAGCGCCACCGGTACGAACAATTAGGCTACTGGTCTCGGGCCGAAGGGACGACAGTTACGAGCGGTCCAGGGATTCAAAGAAGGCGGCGAACTTCTTTGATCGGACGTGCCAGTGGAACCAGAGGCCTTCTCGTTCTAGACCGTTTCAGTTCGCTCTACCCCGGTTCTTGCAGATAGGGAGTGGAAGGTGGAGTAGCGAATCCATGCATTGGCGTCGAATCGATTTGCAATTTACTTTATAAATATGCGAACGAACGAAGTCTTTGTTTAAATTGTAAAAATTTTTATGATTTTAATTCTCTCTGTTTAGCTGCTAATTATAATAATTTAAGTATTTTTATTTAAGTAAGCAGAAGGAAGTTATATTTTTTTTATATATAATGTATATAGATTTATAATATTAAAGAGCAAAAGGAGAAATACTTGTAGATTTTGGAAAAGAAAAATATAATTGAATTCTATATTAATTCTTCAGGCTCAAAAGAAATATATGAGCTTAATAAAACAAAAAGTTATCATCATTTTTTTGTATTGTTAACTATTTTCAATCAATGTTTCCAGGAGATATTAAAATGATAGCTATTTTCTGATTTCATTGAATTCGTTAAAGTTCACCCTTATGAGAATTAAATTGACCTGACTCAATAATATCATAATATATTTATTGTCTCTGGAGAAATTTCTATTGTATTAGCTTTTGATTTCATAATTTTATTAACATTTATAACATATTGTTTTAATTTTTGAATGTTCATCATTTTTTGGTAAAAAGATCAATAAATCGTAGCTTAAAAAATACTTTTTACATGTGATAAGATACATGTAATTTACCTGATTTTTTAACTTGAAAACAAACAATTAATGGATCTTGTATATTATTCGATATATTAGCAAAAATAATTAAAATCGTCCCACTTGCAAGCTACTTTCCTAAATTTACCCTATACAAATCTTTTTCTCATTAATTATGCATATTCAAACATTTCACTGTAAAACATATCCGTCTAATCTCCGTCATTTCCCTGTCATTACTTTTTACTTTTTCTTTACCACGCTTCTTTTATACCTACACTCGTAATAACAAATTTTACCTTATAGATTCCTACTTTCCTCGAAATCTCTTTCGAAAAATTACGTTCAACAAAGAATTCGTCGAGATTAAAATAAAGTAAATAACGAATCGAACGAATTTCCAAGAATAAGAATAAAGAAAGAAAGAAAGGATCATTTCCAATTAAACAAGTATCGACGAAAGATGGAAGAATGCGAAGAGACTCGTGAAAAGGTTATACGGACAGGTGTACAAGGGTCTGGATACGAGTGTGCGTGGACGTATATACATGTATACGTATATTTTATAATTAGCCAAAGGGCCCAAAGAGAGAGAGAGATAAATCAACGCGCCGCCCGGGTTTAAGACTTAATTAAAAATTTAGTCAAAAACCAATTAGCGGCTACGCCGGATTAACATATTTCTAATTATCCGCCGAACACTTTCGGCCGCCCTATACCGCTGCCTCGACTACTTGCCATATACGAGAGGCCACGCCACTCTCCCCGCCGATGACTTTGCGATACGTTTCGTCCAAACTTTTTCATCTTCCTTTTCTCCTCTTCCTTCCTTCCTTTTATTTATCTATTTATTTATTTATTTTCTCTCCAGTTACGTTCCACAAGACATAATACTTCGATGGATCGGTCGTTGCCACGATCTCATCGATCATTGTTTTCCTTTTACTCTTTTATTCTCTTTTATTCCCGCTCAATCGGGTTCATAATGACCATCGATTCGAAAAAAGAAAAATATTCTTCACTTACCTCGTGTAAGTGAAAGCCTCGTGTAATTAATTAGGAACATTTGATCTCGAATTCGTTCAATCGATCGTAATTTTCACCTTCCTTTTTATATTATATACATCCACTTACCTGAAAACCGTGGACGATTATTCGAATCTCTCGATAAATAAATAAATTCGTGAGGGAAGAGTAATCGGTACAAATCGGCGGTTTAAATACTGAAATCATTTTTATTTCGCTATGGTATATTTCCATGGATAAATTATCATGTTACATTTATACAGGGCGCTTAAGGTACATCCACCTCGTCGCGGTGTGAATCTCGATCCTACATCGGAATTTACATTTTTTTCCCTTGGACACGTATGTACACGCTCTTCGAATTTTTTTTTTTTTTTTTTTCGTATCCGTTTCGTTCGAAAAAGAGAAAAGAAAAATCTCGCGTTCGCAATCTGTCGAGTTTCAAAAAATTCCTTTTCTTCCCCCCTATTTTGTTTATCAAACGAGACGTTCTCGATCGATTTTGGGAATATCATCTGTTCTAGTAGCGAAGTAGATCATAACTTCAACCATTCCAAATAAATTTATATACCTCAAGTAGAAACGAAACGAGTCAAAGGAGCGGGTTAATAATATAATAATAACGTCGTCCATTTCCAACAAATTCTTTCTTTCGCCTCTCAACTCGTTCGCGAAGTCCTGTACACGCGTGTCGATATTTATATTAATATTTATATATACATACGTACACACTTATACGCGGATAGAGAATCTATTTACAATATGTACACGATACAATCGTAGTAACTTCGTGATAATAACGTTGTTTCGTGATGAAGTGAGATCAACGGCTTGAAATGCTTTCTAAATGCTTCGATCGTTCAAATTCAATCGAGTGTTATCCACGCGAACCGTTAATATTCGCGAACGTAGAAAAATAAAAGGATGTGCAGGAGGAGGGGGAGGAAGTTTGGTCACAAACTTCGAAATACTCTTCCTCGACGCGGTGAAAGAAGAAGGCAGTTAAAGTCGAATTTAACTCTTCGCTCTCCAACGACGAATTTCCTCGTCGAAACCAACAATGTTTCACTGGGTTAATCACCGAATTAATTAAATGTTTCTCGCTCCATTCGACATCCCTTTGGACAGTGATGGGTTTCGAAGGAACTTTTTAAAGTTTGCTTTTTTCAATTTCAATGTAATCCACGATCACAAACCAGATCACTGCGACGACCTCGAAACACGGCCGATAAGTAATCGTAATCTTCTCCAAACCCATCACCGTTTACTCGCGTTCGAGAAAATTTCCCCTCCCCGAGTTGGCCAAGCTTTTCGTTCTTTCGTTGGGTTACAAGTTTTTTCAACGCACAGTTTTCGTTCACGAAGACCAGGAAGAGGCGGACTGGGCAGGATACGAGCGACTCGGACCAGCGCGGCTCGCCTCTCCCTTATTAAGGCCTGTGTCCAGGGGGCCCCATGAACATGGCCGCCGCGGCGGCGACATGGGTGTGCCTAGCCATGGCCGCCGCGATGAAGGGAGGCACTCCTGGTGTTCCAGGTGGCCCCACTCCGGAGAACATTAGGCCAGAGCCGAAACTCGGGTGAAGCAACGGCCTCGCGGACAGCCTCAACTTCTCGATTTCCGCCTCCTGGAGACGCTTCGCCTTAGCTCGCCTGTTCTGGAACCAAATTTTCACCTGGAACAGAGAGTAGGAAAAAAGTAGTGGCATTTCTCCATTAAATTGAACGGTGTAATTTAAATTTAATTGGTGTTTGGAACACGCTTCGACAAAGTTTTTTATATTAAGCAAAGGTTATCGAAAAAATGTCTTATCTTAAGTCAATTTTCTGTTCCTCGGTTGCTAAATTTTTTTATTTCTTTTTCTTTACATTTAAAATAATATACCGTGCAATTTTTTCTTTCGTGCTAAATAAACGTCTCTCACATTTCTTATAAAAAGTATACATGGAGATATATCTCAAAAAATAATAGATACCTAAGATTTTGTCTTAACTTTTTACCATCTCGATCCATTCATTTTTCGTAACACACAGAATAAAAATCAACAAGAGTAACTAATAAACATATATAAATATATACATTCTTCTTTGAACGTTCCACGGATGAACATACAAACATCTAAAGATCCTTGGACTTTTTCGTCGATTTTCATCGAGCCTCGTCACCGCAGCCGGTTTAGGGAAAAGCGCCTAGTGAAAAAGAAGAAGGAAGAAACCGTGGCCGTGGACAGGATGGGCGACAGGGCGGAAGGAGCGTCGATACGGCCGCGTAATTAAATAATTACGCTATCGATCAACCGAGAGCGGTAACGTAAGCGATCTAACAAGGGACGCGGCGAACGGCGAATAGAGAAAATAGGTGCACCACGGTGCTGCATGAACGGCTATTTAGCGCGTAATTAGCCGGCTCAAATTGGTGAAAGCAGCCGTCCGTACGGCCTGTGTAGGAATTCGCCGATGTAGTTGGAAACTTGCTACGTGGAAAAATATGCGGCTCGAAAACCTTTTCTTTCGGCTGGTTAATTGTGTTTGCACAGTCGCCGGCCGATTTTTTTTTGTTTGGACAGATGCGATTCAACCTCCGCGAATCGATCGACGCAATTGCGCAACGATTGTCTAAATCCGTTTTTCTTTTCTCTTTCTTTTTTTTTTTTTTTTTTTT